AACTTAAATGTCTAGCATTCCCCTGGGATGCAGTATAAAGAGGATAAAATCTTAATATTCCCTGATATAAAAGGAAATATCCTACCACTTAATGGGAGTTATGGAACTCCATAGCCAGTGCTCTAATCATGTGCTAATTTGTCTAACTAGCTGAGTGGGAATATGAGGACATATGTCCCAACACGCACCTGATTAATCCTGCATGCACTCCTTGATCCAGCAACAGATGTACATGCAGAAGCCTGCTCCAATGTGAAGGCAGGAGGAATAATGGTCAATGTACTCAACATTGCACAATGATTTAATAAGTACATTATGGAGAGGGTTTAATCCTGCAAACATCTGTCATTATATTTATCAAAATTTATAACTATGAAATCTACATCTTCCTCTAAAATGTGTGTGGAAGGTGCTTATTTTTAAAAGTTTTATGTTGCCTTTCCAAACCACATTTTCACTGGATAATTTAAAATGCATTAAAGTTACAAGATTATAATTCCGAACAAAAATAAAATCTACAATAAAATAAACAAATTAATAAAATATCATTAATATATTTAAAAAGAATAAAAATATATTTGTCAATGCCGGATGTCTTTCACTGAGGAGATAGGAGAATTTTAACTAATTAAAAAGTATGTCTGTGCAGAACAGAGTTAACTAGCTTAGTAATTCACAATGTAGTGATCACTACTATGTTGGATGGCTTCACTGGATAGATCTAAGGAAGACAGGCTTTCAATAATTACTAGTCATGATGGGTGTAACAATCAATTAACATTTATTTGATCACATTCCATTATTTGGATACTATTATGTGTTAAAATCCAGTTTGGCACATTAAGAATAGTTCTAAAATGCAGTCTTGTAGAAGGACTAAAACAAAGATAATGCTGAAACAATTATATATCTAAACAATTGTGTAACATGTATAATACTATATATAGCTAACAATAAACTAGTTTCTACATGGGAGTTAGTATACTGGTATTCTAACAGCTGTTTCCCATGTATGCAGACTCCTTTTTTGATTATAATAATAAAATCTAATACAAACAAATTTAAAAAGAATAGAAAGAAAGGATAAAAAGTGCAAGGAAAGAGAAAAAAGAATATAATAAAGAGAAAAGAAATAAAGAAGTGACTTCCAACCTTCATTACAAGAAGTATGAACAAAATTAGCAACTCTTCACCACCTCTAAGGTTACAAACTATTATCTATTTATCCCATATCCCATCCTTATCTATAGACAAATCCATAAAGCATCATCTTTTCCCATGTATGCACACTTCTCAATAAAAATGATAATCACAGTAATGAACCAATGTATTAACTATCCATTCTCTTATTCAATTTGTAACTGTGTTAATTATGCTCTGTACTCTCTTGATGTTTGCCTTGACGTCATATTATTAACTTTATTAAATTAGCATGCAATACATACCCTTTCACATCAAACGAGATTTGATTCTTCAATGACAAGGCCCAAAGAGTTGAGCCAAAAGGCAAATCAAGAAAATAACAGGAATAAGAGTGTGTGAAAGGTCACCAGAAATTCCTTAGCCTCTTCCTTATACTTACACTTAAATATGCTATTATTAATCTTACTTGACTGGTAAAGTACTGATTGTGTTTTGATATATAGCTTATATAGGAAAAAAATCAGAGATCACTGATTAGCACTCACTTTACGCTGAGGAAAGACAATGTCTCCCTGGGCAGGAAGAATATGGCAGCAATTTCTTCCTCTGTGTAGAGAACAGTTGTATAACTTACTGTAAAGTCCTTTCAGGTCATTGGAAAATGGACCAATATGATAGGATTTATGCTACCTCTTCTATCCAGAAGACAAGGCTTAATTTTTTTTTTCCTGTCCTGTGCAGAAAGCTCCCTGCCTTCAATCACATGCACTGATTTTAGCAAAGTATTGTCCTCTTTTATAGCATATTCCAATATAACAACAAAACTTCCAATTTTGCCACAGTAAGTCCATTCTCAGTCACCAGATAGAGAGCCAACAGGAAACAGATATACGACAGCAGTATTCCCACTAACAGCACTTTTCACAGCACAGAGTGGCTAAAGGCTGTTAGAGAAGGTGAACTTATCTATTTTGCAATGTGTTATAAAGTTAGATAGCTCCACTCAGGGAGCCAGTACTTTTTTTTTTTTTTTTAAATTAATGAGACTCCTGTTCCTGGGATAGGAAGGCTCCCTTTTCTTAGTGTCAATAATAGTCCCAGGATGCTTGATTGGGATGTATAACTAGACCTCTGACAAAATAATCAAACTTAGAATGTCATCCAGCAGGATGTTTTCTGCCATTAACTTTAATATCTATGTCCTGAAATTCTGATTAACTTATCTGGAGGCCTGAGACCTGTCCAATCTCTGTTTTCCTTTGGAACCATAAAAAATATAGTAAGCACAACAAAGATGACCATTTTTGGTTGTGTACCAATGTCCAGTAATGTCCCCCCCACCTTCATCGCGTTTCCCTTTGTTCTTGAAGATGGGGATGGTAGAAACCCACCTTGTGGCTTTTCTATGAGTTCTAGTACATTTCTTGTAAACTCTACTGTAAAACCCCACTAGCCTATCTCTAGAATCCAAATTTCCACAGCTGCCTGAACCCCTGGGAGGTAATGGTTTTATGCTGAAAGGTATGTATCTTGATTCTTGTCTCCTCTGCATGGTCTATTGGATGAGTATTTTCACTGCTGAGGCAGAGGGCTGCAGCATGTGCTTCCATATCTGCACAAAGCCTTTTCAGCCTACACAAAAGGCCGCTATAGATCTTTCCTTCCATCCGCTGTAGATGAGGTCTTCTTATTCTTGCTTTTGCTGATTCCACGGCCTCTCTAAACAGCTTCATCCCTACCTAATTAGGGCTTCACAGTGAGATTGCCTTTCAACCTCTATATCTGAACTACAGACCTCAAGTGCCATTGTTCTTGGTGTCATAGATCCAGCTGCTAATAGTTGGCAGTCCATATAGGTATACCAGAAGTTTTGCTGCTCTAACCAGTTTACTGATATCTCTTAGTTATTGGCTTCTGCCAGTACTTCTCAAAGGAAATAATGTATTCTCTCTACTCAAATTCTTTTCCATGACTGTCCCTGTTCTCTGGAACGATCCCCCTCTGTTATACAACGGGCCTAAGTGTTAGGATATGGCTTTTTCCCACAGTCAGTTTGCTTGTGATAGGGGAAGCCAGCAGATTTTGGCCTCAGAAATGTAATCAGTTCCTGTTCTATTATAAATCTTTCCCCAATCTGGCTCCATAAAAGACAGTACTAGTCAAGAGGAGAAAAATAAGGGGAGACAAAAAGGGGGAGGCAAATTAAAGGTTGAACACATAGACCCTCACTTTCCTCTTCTCTTGAAAATCCACTCTAAGCATTACACAATCTAGGTAAGCACATGATAATGAATAAACATCTTTCATTTATATTTTAAAGATTCATCAGCATGATTTACACATCAGTGCCACTTCATCTATTAGTTGGCTAACTCACCAAAATCTTGATGGCCAATGCTTAAAATACATATGAAATATAGTTTCAAATATTATGTGATTATATATTATAATGTGATTATCATTTTTATTCAGTCCAGACATGATAAAAGTCATAATATTAAACTAAAATTTAAAAAGAGTTAACACTGATAATGGGATATAAGCAACAATGGGCTAGTTCAGACATTGTCATATATCAGTTATTACAGTGACATGCAATAGTTATCTGTGGAAGTCAATGTGTTTAACAGTTGCTCATACGATGTTTAATAAAAACTGTCAGCTTTTAAAATAACAAAGTTGTCAAGAAGTCTTCACTCATGCCTTTTTAGAAAGACACAATATTCATAGAAGCTTCCAACTATGTAACTCTGAAACCTCTATAAATAAATCTGAGATACAAATTTTGTTTCTTGAAACAGAATTTCTGAATTATCAAGCATACAATTCAAGGCACAGGGCACTCGCAACATAATGATTATTGAGAACCTATCTACTAAAAGTAGAAGATTAATTTTCTATAAAACAATGCAGATTGGAGATTATCCCAGGGTTTTTATCCTTCATGATATTGAAGACAGGTTGTTACTTCACTTTATTTGAAGCCAATTGCACAATGGAATTCTTTCAGAAACCTCTTTACAATGAACTGAGCATTCTTATCACCCTGGTCCAGCACAAGATAATTATACACAGAAATTACTTCTCTGCAAAGATTTCATTACTATACTAACAAATATTATGTTTTTAACTTCATTTAAATGTGTGGCATCTGATAATGTTTTTACTCAAGAATGGAAACATACATTTCCATTTGCATTTCAAACAGATGGGAATAACTATTACCAATAATCATACAACTAATTGGCTTCTCCTGAAGGCCAGCAAGAACAGTTAAAGAGAAACAGTTTACCACAAGCCAAAATGGAAATACTCAGATCTGAACTACATGTTTTCCTCCCTTCAGGTAGGAGAAATAAATACTCTTCAAATCTATTACAAAATGCAAAGCAAACATGTATGCTGCATTTATTACAGCATCAATGAATATTTGGCTTTTGCCCTAAAGGCTGGCATTTTATACTTTAAAGGAAATATAACTGTTTAACAAATTCTATTGAACTTTTCCACTAAAACAGTAATCTGTTATTAAACTAACAATTGGAATCTGCTCAGCTTTCCCTTCAGCTGACTGTATTTCATCTAACATCTGATTGTATTTCATTTTGCTCAAACTTAACAGAGTCCCCCAAGATACAGAAAGCAGACAGTCCCTCAAGAAACAGAAAGCAGACAGCCAGCTGACTCATGTTTGACATTCATGTATTAGGGAAATCAGTGTAATGTTAACAAATGAAAATATCAGCAACCTTTTGTGGCCAAAATTTACAGTAATAAAATTTAATAAAAACTCTCAATGTAGATAATATTGTGACACAGGAAAGTTACAGTTTTTTATGCATAATGATGAAACCTACCTTTCTAGTTTCAGAATGAACTTCTTCTTGGCAGCACTTTCTGCAGAATGGATCCAACTGACTCAAGCCAAACTGACCAAGAAGGTCACAAGAACTGCACAACAAGTTACTAGAAAAGCCAAGATCTCTGCATGCCTCTGATGATAATTCTGCTCCGTAAGCAGATATCTGAAATCATATAAGATTTACACAACCAATCACTTTAACACAGATATCTGTAACAATTCAGTGTCCATAGGTAACAGTTTCTAAATAACGTATTTTCAAGATCTTCCATTTCCCATGGCATACAAGAAATCATACAAAGGAATTTGTTTTAAAATATGGACCAAGTATGATCATAGTTTCATAAAATAAAACAATACTACCTACATTAATAATCCATCAATAATTGAGGTCATTGGCTTTAGACTAATAGTATTAATAGTTCAAAAAAACATATACAAGTGTCAATAATGAAGTACACACACACACACATTAAAAAGAAGGCAATACTAAACAGTTTACCAAGGCAAGCATTCTCCATTCTTTGAATCTGCAAACATATTTGCCATTTTATAATATGCTATATAGTTACTAAACAACTGCCATGTGATTTGAGCCAGTTAAAAATGGCTGCCATATGATCATAACCAGTCACAGAAGAAGGAAATAAAAACTAGCTATTCAAAAGCAGACTATAAAAATTCACAGTAATTTACCATTCCTACCTTATGTCACTAAAACTTACTCTAAATTAACATATACATACCTGGTAATATCAAGAATTATCACACAACAATATGGTTCCAAAACTCAGACACTACATAAATTTTCATGATTTTTTATAGGATGCCAACAAAAGACATAACACATCATCATCAGATGATTGTTTGGGGGGAACTCTTACAAAAACATGGCAATCTATATTTTTATACTATGGAAGTTTCAGCAAGTCTTTTACTGTGCAGTCTATAAACAACATACATTTTAATTTGGTCATTATTTTGAGAGGACCCAGGTAAAAGGGAACTATATTCACTAGAATTTAATTCAGTGTATTGAATTGTACAGTATACAATTTCACTGTATTTATTTGCTGTATGGAAATGTTTACTGCTGCAGGAAGTGTTTTCTCTCTCCTGTCTAAGTTTACATACTGCACTAACCATAAATATAACTGTTATATTTGATTTTAGCTCAACATGTTATATGAGCTAGCCATAGTAATTTGAAAATCAGCTTATGGCTTTGTATACTGAAAAGCCCAGCTTTTCAAAATGGTAACATGAATTTATGCAGAGCTGGTGAAGGTGGTAAGCTCTTGATTTAGTAATTAAATGTTTATCTTGTTCCTCAAAGGAGCTCATCTGCTTTATTTTCATAACTGTCTTGCAAGACAGATTGGGTTGAGGGCTAGTGAGTAGACGAAGGTCATTCAGGAAGCTTTTTGCTGAATAGAGGCTTTAACTTGCCACTCCAAAGTCTTACTTGCTAGGGTGAAAACATAGTATAAATGCCCACAAAAACTGCTACTATGGGGGGGACAGGGAGATTTGCCAACTTACAAATGCTCCTAGATGGGTGTGTCAAGTCACAAAACTCTAGAATTGCTACTATTTACAGTGGGGCTCAACACATTTATTTCCCAAGCCTTTTAACACCAATGTTATAGCTTCAGTTACTATATATAATTGGCTGGATTTTTTATTTCTGTTTCAACTGGGTGTTAGTGATTTTACTACTGACCTATAAGCCACCTAGATCTATAAGCTACCGAGATGCCTGTGATTTTAATGCTGGAAATTAAAGGTCTAATCATACCTAAGAGAGTCGTTGAAAGTGGGGCGGCATACTAAATAAATAAATAAAATTTAATCTAATTAATTACGTAAAAGTCCTATTAGTTTTACTTCCAAGACATCTGTTCCAAAGTATCCATTAATATTCATATATCAACAAGTTAATATTTTTTCTTCAATATGTTCCGCAGTATGACTAAGAAGTTAAAAAGGGGGTGTATCCAGTTTAGCCAATGACGAACATCAAAATAATTATACCGAATCGATTAAAATAGATTTAGTCATACTTATTCGAGTAAAACCACGACGAACTTACGTTGATTTCAAAGTGTTTAACTTCGGTATTACAAGGACCGTATCCAGTTTAACTTTTACTTTTAAAAAAATCTAATGTACCTGCACATTGGAACCGTTTCGACACGACACGGAAGTCGAAGAAATAACAAGTCAGAAATACTGACAGAAATAAGTTCGCCACAAGACCGCCCTCCCCGTTGTTGGCTGCTCCCCAAGCTCATAGTCGCTACTCTCCTACTTCTAACGGTGCTTCTTACCGCCTGAAGCGTCGCTAGCAACCAAATCCAATAGCGCCCAAGCCCCATGGCTCCGTCTCGAATCGCCATGTTGGCACAGACCGGCAGCATAGGCATCCCATTGATAGGCCCCTAAACCGACAGGATGACTGAAGTACTGCCTGGTTCGAGCAAAGAAAATATCTATAAAGTTCTCCCATACACATGGAACTGACCAGTAGAAACATTCGAAGAGGGAAAGAACATGCGTGAATTTGCAAGAAGCAATTCTCATGCCTTCAAGGGCGACTCGCTCCCGCTTCTTTTTTTCAGGCATCTTTTAAGACGCTTTGGAATAGGTCTAGCTTCTCCCCTATCGAACGGTTCATGGAGATTAACAAGACGGTCGACCAATCGAATGGCGGAACGTTGGCGTTCGCCTTTACCGTCGCATCCAATACCCTAAGGGAAAATAACTAGGCCTACGGGACAAGCTTGTCCAATCAGTACGTAAAGGGGTAGGCGGGGTGTTGGTTCAGTTCCTTCCAGCTACGTGAGGAAGCGTTTGTAGGCGGGCTGATGAAATGCAGAGCCAATAGAAGAGGGACAAGGAGAGTGGTAGCCAAAGGAAGTTACCTTTTTGGGCGGGACCTGTATTCTGGCTGGTCAGGGGAAAGCGAAGGGGGCGTGAGTACGGCCGGGCGTTCGGTTGCTGAGCAGCGCACGCAGATTGGCGGCTGGGTGGCTGGGCGCGTGCCTGGGACCGTGGTAGGAGTGGGGCTCGCGGAGTGAGCCGCTCGAAGGCGGGAGGTTGTCGGTGGGTGTGTGCAGAAGCGTGGAGGCGCCGTCGCGAGGTTTCCTAAGGAATGTGAGAAGCCCAGATTTTCCCGCGAGCTCTCCCCGGCGCCCGGCTCTCTTTCACTCGTCTGCGGCCGCCGTTTTGTCTCCCGCAGAGGTTCTCCCCCACCCCCGGCCTCCCCTGTCGGGCCCCGCGTGATGTCGTGATCTCCAGGCGGACGTGCGACCAGGGAGGCGGCGCTCAGGTGGCGGCGGCTGCTGCTGCCGCTGCAGCCGCCGATGGGGCTGCTCCGGATTATGTTGCCGCCTAAATTGCAGCTTTTGGCGGTGATGGCGTTCGGGGTGTCCGTCCTTTTCCTGGAGAACCAGATCCAGAAACTGGAGGAATCCCGTGGGAAGCTTGGTGAGTGCTGGACGGCCTTGGCCGTGGGAAAGTAGTTGGAGCTACTAGGGCCGTGTGGAAGGTGGCAGATGTACCGTCTCAAAGTAGAGGTTGGACGGTAATGGGATTGCCCGAAGTGAGTCGGGGGGGGAAAGTTCCCTCTCATTTTATTGCGAATTAGAAAGATGGCAAGGATGGGGTCACGGGGGAGCGGGAGGCGCTGATCTGGAGAAGCTTTGGAGATCGATAAGGAAAACAACCGAAAACTCGTTGTCCTGTCAGATCTCTGCAAATGAGATAACCCGTTTCTTTCAGTATGATTCCGCAACAAACCCTGTGAAAAAATAACTCAATTGTGCAAGTAGTAGCACTGGCTCCGTAGTTGATTTATACAGCACATAGATCCTGTCAGGGTATTAAATTAAAAAAAAAGTAAGAGGTGAGTAATGTGTTTAGCTAAAAACAAATGAGCACGTTTTCCTGAGTTCCATAGATCTCTGCTGTGTAACTGGATAAGTGAATCCTTCTGAAGTTTTTTCTTCAGTCTCAAATGAAATATTTGGAATGTGCTTCTTCTGTTTATGCTGCAAACTTTCAAACAGGTTTAAATGTGAGGGAAGAGAGGCAGACATGTAATCTTAATGAACAATGTCTGTGGATTGTGAAATATCAGCTGCTGAATATGGCATATTATGTATTCCATAACTGATTCCATAACTATTGCTACATCAATTAGTGGGTAAACATCAGGAAGAACTCTAGCTGAGAAATTTAAACTTGAATTTGTGTAAGATTCTTTAAACTTTAGCTATGTTTGCTGACATCATTTGTTGAATTGCTTCCCTACATATGTCAGTAAATGATTATAAACTTTCTTTAGCAGTCTGTAATCTATTCTGTATATAATATGCCATACAATAATGAAGGATTTCAAGGTCTAGCTTATTCATTATGCTAAGCTATTACATTTTAAAATGTGGTTTACTGAAAAGCCACACTTGATTGGTTTACACATTACACAAAGCCAGGGTCACACAATCAGTTCTAAATCTAGCCAACTAGGACTTGGATCTGATAAACATATAATACACATTATGGTTCTTAAGCATGATCGCATAAAATCAATTTTTTTATAAAACTTACTCTGTTAAAAGCTATAGACCTCTTGGGATGGGAATTAGAAAACGGAAGTGCGTCTTCCCTTTCCAGTGTGTGCCATGCAAAACCAATAAAAATGATGATATATTCCACTTTTCAGTATGACTTGATTATATATAAGCATTCTCATTGCAGCGGGGGGGGGGGAGAGAACTTTTGGTTTTTGTACTTCTAATCTTAAAATGTGAAAAAAAAAAACCCTGGCTTTTATGCTGTGCCATAAGCATTATAATGAGGTCCTCATTTTGGAGTAATGCAGTTAAAAATAATAAGGAAAGCAGATTTGTATTATATTATTATTTATCTTCCAAAACATTAATACCAATCTTTTAATATTGTTTATAATATCTAGAAGCAACTATATAAATAGAAAGAAGTAGAATTTCTTTCAAGTGGAACTTGACTTCTGGTGACTTCATTGACATGTTTCTGTCATTTTCTTGGCAACATATGGAAATGGCTTGCTGTTGTCATCTTCCAGGCTGGTTTTCAACTTCCCAATCTATCCTAGAGCCCTAGGATTCTCTGATACTCTTCTATTGAGAACTGGACCTGTGTAGCTCCCAAGCCCAGAGGAAGTGCTAAATCTGAAAAAGAATGAAATACTACAACATCATAACTTGTAACCATATTTAAATTCCTTGTATAGATATGCTTTGCCTATGTGAAAATAATCTAGCTAAGGCTTTTCACTTTGTAATATGATTTATATTTTCTGATCCAATATGTTTGTATTGTATTGTCTGTTTAGCATTTTGTTATGCAGCATTTCACAGTTTTAAGATTATGCAACTCAATCATATCTTTTGTACAGAGCTGTATATAGAGAAGGGAATGGGGTCTGAAATTAATAGACTTTTGTTTGGTGTAATTTAGGCACATGGAGGGACCCTTAAACAAGATAACGTTTTGCCCTATTCATGTTTATGTAAATGTGTCCTTATGCCCCTTGTGTAAGACTCTGTAGGGCTGCAACCTTAAAGTCTTAAATGCTTTTCAGAAAGGGGCTTCAGTTTATTAGGTTGAAATATTTAATGTTGATGATGTTTGGTAGAATGGTAATTTATAATCTGAGAAATAAACCTGTTGTATAATTGCATAGTTGGAAAGCACATGATAAAATGGATATGTACTGGGTGAGTGGTTCTGTACATGTGGTAAATAACATTTCCTGGACGGTAGTATTGTACATGGGACTGCCTGGCTCCATTAGGAAGCCATAATAAATGCATGATAAATATAAAAGTAATGCAGCTTGGATCTATATTCCGTCAGAGCACTGTCTGATAAAACATTTTTGCTGATGAACTGGGGAAAGAGGCAAGATTTCTTCCACTCTTTTCCCTCCTTTCCAGATCTCTATGGCCCCTGAAAATCCTTTCAGCCCCCTGAAAATCTGCTCCATAGGATTTAGGGATGTTCTAGAATTTAATGGATGGCACAGAGGTTATAGAGGGAAATTGATGAAAATAGTTTCCCGTTTTTTTTAAGGGTTGGCACGTTTGGATAGCACTCTGCTTATGGAATATTCTGATAGGAACAAACTTTAATGCACTGTTTAAAGCTATGGTTCTTGACCTGCAAAGTCAGAGATTTTTCTACATGTTTACTTGTGCACAAAAAGGTAAACAGAATGTTTTTTAAAGCATTATGAGTTAAGAGAACCATATATATTCATTTACTATAGTTTTGAAATTAAATCATGTTTTGATTACTTGAAATACATTGAGCTACATCCAGTTTCATGTAAGTAGATTTCAGCTCACGCAGTGGGAGGAGGTGTTTTTTTTTTAACCTTTTGTCCTCTGTACGCCTCCTAGTTCTTCTGAGCAGAAGCTGATCTGCTCATGGTGTTTGTTCCACTAGTGGAAGTATGTATGTATGATTATAACCTATTGATCTCATCTGTCTTGGTTTGGGATACTTTTTAAAATATTTCATTACATATAATGGAGAATCTTGACTAGTAAATAATTTGTCATTTCTAATTCCTAGGTTTAATGGTGAATTATAGTAGTCTTGGTTAATGTGTCAGTAAGGAATAGGCAATATGTCAACAATTGACTGATAAAAAAAAATTAGAGTCCATTATGTTAAAGTCTAAGGTGTTATTACCATAGTACTATTTTCACCAATCCAGTAATTTCTGGCTATATTAATTTAAATAAAGTGTTTTGTTCCTGAAAAATAACTTCCTTGGATTCATATAAATATGATTGTAGTACAGTATGATAGCAACTGCTGCTGTTTAATTAATAGTTTTTAGAATTATCAATGGTGTTATAAAACCTAGCAATATATATGATCACATTTTTTTCTGATACGATTTCAGATAAAGTTAGAAAATGAAAATTTATTTGACATTTAAGTGAACACTGTAATACATGATTTCATCTTTGACAGCATAAGGTTTTAGAAATAATTGGTGACCTAACAACATTTTTGGATACACTCTCATGGAGCAGCAATCTGTAATAACGACATGCCAGCAATTTATACTTCTAAATATAACCAAATCACTCAAATTAAATTGAAATGTGAATTAATTGGCATGTGGCAAAAATGAAATTCCTACATTGTGTAACAATGGAAATGAGAGCCCTTCTTAATACATGAACTGTAATTTAGTCCAACAAATCCACACTACATGTGCCAGTGAAAATGAAAATTGTTGCTTTAAATGCTATGATTAGTTTCTCTTAACACTCCTAATTTAATCTGTTCCTTTGAAAGCACTCTATAAAGAGAGGCATTTTTTTGCATTTACCAATTGCACACATATTTTTGGTAATGGTAATGCTAAGAAATGACAATTCCAACTACAAGAACTATTTATTGAAATTAGAAGAGTATATATATTTGTTTAACTTTAAATATTAGATTTTAAGAATTTAGGCAAAAGTTGCAAATAACTTTCATAAAAATTTATTGTAAATAAATAAACTTATATTTATTTACAATATGGGGATGTGTTATAATTTTCTCTTAATTGTATTGCAAATACAATTGGTCCTTAAAATGAAGATCTAGTTTTTGCTGTACACTTTGGCTACATTTGTATCCCCCTTTTGCAATTGAAAGTTAGTAAGTCTTAAACAGTTGGGTGCTGCTATGAATGTTTTTATGGTGCTTCAGTTATCTAATTGAGCTTTTACAGCCACAATATACATAGCATTATAATAGTTATCAAATAGTCAATGTATGAAATATATTAAATGATAAATATGGTCATCATCAATCATAATACAATCATAAAAGCATGGTGTTGTATAACATCAAAACATCTAGATTCATTCCAAGCTCAGGTACATTTCCTATTCTTGCCCCAGTCCTCCAATGCACATTGAAAGGGCAATGTTTTTTAAAGCTTCTTAAATATTAAAAGTGATATCTTTGAGGAGGATATTCTGCAGATGAGCTCCAGCAGAAAATGCTTGCCTCCCAGTGTCAATCTGTGACACCTCATGAAGTGTAGGGACTGTCAGCTCGCTTTGGAGTGAGAGGTTTCAAATATAGCCTAACCTCTTTGCTGGTCAGTGACTGAAATAAAATAACTGACTGGCCTAACCCCAAGCCATGTAGGAAGTTGACCACCAGTATCTTGAATTGCACTCAGAACAAATTGACAATCCAGGTAGCTCCCATAATATTGGTGTTACATGACAATATCAGGTTATACAGGTTGCTGAACTTTGCACTAATTGAGATTCCTGGGTAGTTTTCAAGGGCAGTCCATATGGAACACATTACAATAGCTCACCCATGAAGTGACAAGGGCATGAGGGACTGTAGCCGTCACCTTCTGCTCCAGGAATGTTTACAACTGGTGCACCAGTCAAAGCTGGGTAAAGTCCCTTCTGGCC